GTGCCCCCCCACACAGGACGGGGGGGAGGGGGAGAGGCGCCCCCCCACAAGACGGGGGGGAGGGGGAGAGGTGCCCCCCCACACAGGACGGGGGGGAGGGGGAGAGGCGCCCCCCCACAAGACGGGGGGGAGGGGGAGAGGTGCCCCCCACACACAGGATGGGGGGAAGGGTGCCCCCACACGCACACACAGGACAGGGGGAGGGGGAGAGGCACCCCACACACACACACACACAGGACGGGCAGGGAGAAGTGTGTGTGTTTCTGTGCAATGTGTATCTGTCACTGCATGTTGCTTGGGCTTGTGTTTTGTGTTTGTGTGTGCATCTCGCTGTGTGTGTCTCTCGTTGGGTGCCATGGGCGTGTGTGATGCTGTGTGTGTCGCACTATGTGAGCTGGATGTGCATCTGATGTTGTACGTCTGTCACTGCAGCATGTGTTAACATGCGTGTCTATGTTGGTTGAATGTCCCTCTCTCTCTCTCTCTCTGTGTCCTGGCAGTCTCTCCTGGTGTGACTCTTGCTGTGTGTGTCATTGCAGTGTGTCCGTCTGCGTGTCTTTTGCAGTGCGTGTGTTGTCATGTCTCACACTCCGTGTGCCCTTGGAGTGGGTCTGGCCTGCATATGTTGTGTGTGTGTGTGATTGCAGTATGTCCGGTCTGCCTGTGTCTCTCCTGCTATGTCTCTGGCTGTGTGTGTCACTGTGATGTGTCCATCTGTGTGGGTCTCTCCTGATGTGTCTTACTCCATCATTGAAGTGTGTCCAGTCTGCATGTGTCTCTTTTGTGTCTCTTGCTGTGCATGTGTTGTTATTGTGTGTTCATCTGTGTGTCTCTCCTGGGGTGTGTCTCGCTGTGCGTGTCTCATTGCGGTATGTCCACTCTGCACGTGTCTCACCTGCTGTGTGTCATGTCTCACAAAGTGTGTGTCAATGTGGTGTATCCGTCCGTCTCTCTCCTGGTGTGTCTCGTACTCTGTGTGAGTGTCGTGGCGGTTTGTCGCTTGTGTATCACATGTGGCATTGCGGTGTGCTGCTGTGTGTCACCCAGTGTGTCGCACTGTGTGTGTGACATGCACATGCGGTCTATTGTGGTGTGTCTCAGATGTGGTGTGTGTGTGTGTGTAACATGTGGTGTGTCGCAGTGTGTGTGTGTGTCATTACGGAGTGTCACAGGCAGTGTTGTGGTGTGTCAAGGTGTGTGTTGTTAGGTGTGTCACTGTGTATGTGTGTGACATGAACATGCGGTCTGTCAGGCTGTGTGTTGCGGTGTATGTGTGTGATACACGGGGCGTTGTGTGGGGGTGTCGCTGTGTGTGTGTCACACGGGGGGGTCACTGTCAGGCGGTCTCTAATACAAGCTTCCCACCATAAAAGCCAGCCGGGGCGGGGCTTCCATGTGGCCCCGCCCCTCCCCGCTGTTAGCTCCCGCCCGCCGTCGCGGCTTTCCGGGGCGGGGCTTCCGGGTGGCCACGCCCCCTCCCGCCTCGCAGCCTCGTTCCCGCTCCCAGGCTCCCTGGATCGGGAGCCGACCCGCCTCCTGAGTATCGAGGCCGCTGATTGGTCGCGGGCGTCTGCTCGGCGGGGCCCAATCAGGAGGCGCAGGGCGGCGGGGTCCGGCCGGGAGGAGACGGAGCGAGAGGCGGCGGCGGCCGGT